TTTTTAAAACTCAATTTATATTATCTTATATATATAAAATTGAATGTCGTCTTACTGTCTGTACTCTATAGTTTCAAAAACCATTACATCCAATCGCCGTGAAATTTTGGGATATATTAGGTATATCACCGGAAAGGTTTTTGAAAAATAATTTCATGAATATCTTGAATATCCTTAGTTATTTGCAGATTTGTGATTTATCTCGCAAGCAGCGCCCCCCTTGTGACGATGTTAACAAGTTTTCTTATCACTAAGTTTGTTTATCTTAAATATTATTTATCAAAAGTAAGATTATCTCAGGATGACACGGCAATTTATTTGCGACAAGAATAATGATACAATTCCAAGGCGGAAGATACTATTCTTTAACTTCATTCCAATTACCGAGGGAACCAATTAATATTGATTTTATTCAACTTATCGATTATTTCTCAAGGGACGGGAAAAAAATGGTCACTAGATAAAACTATGATTTTCTAATGTAGAAAATTAGGAAAGACAAAATTCAGGATGACAAGGCCACAGGGACCGGGAAAAAATGTTCACTTTATCGAATGATTCAAATTTACGAGTTTCAAATTATCAAAATATATCTTTTTTATTTTTTAATAAGTTTTTAGAGAATTGTTTTTACAATGTTCGCTAGACAACAAAAACTTTACCACTCGGGTAAAACCCCGGGCGAAGCCGAGTACGTTTTATAAGCTTAAATAGAATTGTTTTAACAAATGTTCGTTTAGACAAACCTTCACTCGGGTTAAAACCGGGGCGAAGCCGGGCACATCCGCTAGTTACAGATAAATTAGAATATTTACCTTGATATTTTTAGGCGAAAAGTTATTTCAAAAATTTTTATTTGCTAGAAACCTTCCCAGTTACACTAATAACTTCCCAAATTTCATGGCGTTCACAATGAGTGTGTTTGGTCAGGCATAAAGGACAAACAGACACACACACACACACACAAATTCATTTTTATATATATACTAGCGGATGTGCCCGGCTTCGTCCGGGTTTTTACCCGAGTGAATGTTTGTCTAACGAACATTTGTTAAAAATCAATCCTTTAAGCTTATAAAACGTATCGGCTTCGCCGTGTGTTTTACCCGAGTAAAGGTTTGTCTAGCGAACATTGTTAAAACAATTCTATAAAAACTTATTAAAAAATAAAAAAGATATATTTTGATAATTTGAAACTCGTAATTTGAATCTCGATAAAGTGAACATTTTTTCCCGGTCCCCTGTGTGCCTTGTCATCCTGAATTTTTGTCTTTCCTAATTTTCTACATTAGAAATCATAGTTTTATCTAGTTGAACATTTTCCCCGGTCCCTTGAGAAATACTCGATAGTTGAATAAAATCAATATTAATCGGTTTCTCGGTAATTGGAAGTTAAAGGAATAGTATCTTCGCCTTGGAATTATATCATTATTCTTGTCGCAAATAAATTGCCGTGTCATCCTGAGATAATCTTACTTTTGATAAATAATATTTAAGATAACAAACTTAGTGATAAGAAAACTTGTTATCATCGTCACAATGGGGGCGCTGCTTGCGAGATAAATCTACAAATCTGCAAATAACTCTAAGGATATTCAAGATATTCATGAAATTATTTTTCAAAAACCTTCCCGGTGATATACCTAATAATATCCCAAAATTTCACGGCGATTGGATGTATGTTTTTTTAATCTATAGGTACAGACAGACAGACATTCAATTATATATATATAAGATAACATAAATGAGTTTTAAAAAATTGTAAAAAAAAAAAAAAAGCATCGGCCGGAATCGAACCCGGGCGCCCGCGTGGCAGGCGAGCATTCTACCACAGAACCACCGATGCTTAAAAAAATGGCCATATTTAGGTATTCATTCCATTCCGGATTAGTCCGCGTAAAATAAGTTCTTCAAATGAAAAAAAAGAAATAGCCAAAAATACAAATCAAAATGCAGCCGAAAATTTTCCTCAGGTTTATAAGCGACATGCAAAATTTGGTACCAATTGGTTCAGTAGTTTTTGAGTTTATCGCGAAACAGACAGACAGACAGAAATTGACTTTTATATATAGACTAGATAGACGAATGGCCCGGGCAACGCCCGGGTTTTACTCGAGTGCGTATATATTTTAAAAACGTTTTAATTCAAATACTATTCGTTACAATTATAAATTGGCGCCATGGATGTCACTCTTGTGAAACGTCCCGTTCCAAACTGTGTGTTTTTAAAATGTTTTAATTAAAATACTATTCGTTACAATTATAAATTGGCGCCGTGGATGTCTCTCTTGTGAGACGTCCCGCCCCAAACTGTGTGTGTCTTGAAAATATAAAAATAAAAATGTGAATTTTCATAAAGATTTCATCATGTCGATTTTTTTTTTGCATTTCACCTACTAAATCGATAGAGATAATACATTTGCAACATGAACTTAGGTATATTGACTAAATAGAAAACTGCATAGTAATAAAGATCATTTTTTAAAGGCACCATATCGTTTTTTTTTCAAAAAATCGAAACAAAAATTAACGATAAATAACGATAATTGCCTTAAAAAGAAATTGCCTTAAAAAAAAAGAAACATTCGCGGTGATTTTGTCTTGCATTCGTTTATACAATTATTATATACGAATGACCCGGGCAACGCCCGGGTTTTACCCGATTAAATGCTTTTGTTCAAATACTATTCGTTACAATTATAAATTGGCGCCGTGGATGTCATTCTTGTATATATAAATGAGTTTTAAAAATTGTAAAAAAAAAAAAATGCATCGCGGGAATCGAACCCGGGCCGCCCGCGTGGCAGGCGAGCATTCTACCACTGAACCACCGATGGTTATGAAAAATCCCATCCGTGAGCTTCAGACAGACAGAATAAGGCAAATATATAAGTAGATAGAGATATAGAGATTTACTCTTCATTGTTGGCTTTTTAACTTACATTCATTCTTCATTGTTGGCTTTTTATATTACATTCACTCTTCATTGTTGGCTTTTTATCTTACATTCACTCTGTTCTTTTTATATTATATTTACTCTTCATTGTTGGCTTTTTATCTCACATTCACTCTTCATTGTTGGCTTTTTATATTATATTTACTCTTCATTGTTGGCTTTTTATCTTACATTCATTCTTCATTGTTGGCTTTTTATATTACATTTACTCTTCATTGTTGGCTTTTTATCTTACATTCACTCTTCATTGTTGGCTTTTTATTTTACATTCATTCTTCATTGTTGGCTTTTTATATTACATTCACTCTTCATTGTTGGCTTTTTATCTTACATTCATTCTTCATTGTTGGCTTTTTATATTACATTCACTCTTCATTGTTGGCTTTTTATCTTACATTCACTCTGTTGGCTTTTTATATTACATTTACTCTTCATTGTTGGCTTTTTATCTTACATTCACTCTTCATTGTTGGCTTTTTATATTATATTTACTCTTCTTTGTTGGCTTTTTGTCTTACATTCATTCTTCATTGTTGGCTTTTTATATTACATTTACTCTTCATTGTTGGCTTTTTATCTTACATTCACTCTTCATTGTTGGCTTTTTATCTTACATTCATTCTTCATTGTTGGCTTTTTATATTACATTCACTCTTCATTGTTGGCTTTTTATCTTACATTCATTCTTCATTGTTGGCTTTTTATATTACATTCACTCTTCATTGTTGGCTTTTTATCTTACATTCACTCTGTTGCTTTTATATTACATTTACTCTTCATTGTGGCTTTTTATCTTACATTCACTCTTCATTTTTGGCTTTTTTATATTATATTTACTCTTCATTGTTGGCTTTTTATCTTACATTCATTCTTCATTGTTGGCTTTTTATATTATATTTACTCTTCATTGTTGCTTTTTATCTTACATTCATTCTTCATTGTTGGCTTTTTATATTACATTTACTATTCATTGTTGGCTTTTTATCTTACACTAGACGAATGGCCCGGGCAACGCCCGGGTTTTACCCGAGTGCGTATATATTTTAAAAACGTTTTAATTCAAATACTATTCGTTACAATTATAAATTGGCGCCATGATGTCACGCTTGTGAAACGTCCCGTTCCAAACTGTGTGTTTTTAAAATGTTTTAATTAAAATACTATTCGTTACAATTTTAAATTGGCGCCGTGGGTGGCTCTCTTGTGAAACGTCCCGCCCCAAACTGTGTGTGTCTTGAAAATATAAAAAAAAAATGTGAATTTTCATAAATATTTCATCATGTCGATTTTTTTTTTTGCATTTCACCTACTAAATCGATAGAGATAATTACATTTGCAACATGAACTTAGGTATATTGACTAAATAGAAAACTGCATAGTAATAAAGATCATTTTTTAAAGGCACATATCGTTTTTTTTTCAATAAAATCGAAACAAAAATTAACGATAAATAACGATAATTGCCTTAAAAGAAATTGCCTTAAAAAAAAGAAAACATTCGCGGTGATTTTGTCTTGCATTCGTTTATACAATTATTATATATATGAATGACCCGGGCAACGCCCCGGGTTTTACCCGATTAAATGCTTTTATTCAAATACAATTCGTTACAATTATAAATTGGCGCCGTGGATGTCATTCTTGTATAATATATAAATGAGTTTTAAAAATTGTAAAAACAAAAAAATGCATCGGCCGGGAATCGAACCCGGGCCGCCCGCGCTGGCAGGCGAGCATTCTACCACTGAACCACCGATGGTTATGAAAAATCCCATCCGTGAGCTTCAAACAGACAGAATAAGGCAAATATATAAGTAGATTCACTCTTCATTGTTGGCTTTTTATCTTACATTCATTCTTCATTGTTGGCTTTTTATCTTACATTCACTCTTCATTGTTGGCTTTTTATCTTACATTCATTCTTCATTGTTGGCTTTTTATATTACATTCACTCTTCATTGTTGGCTTTTTATATCATAATAGAAAATCATCTTAGTTCTTAGTGATAAGAAAACTTGTTAACATCGTCACAATGGGGGCGCTGCTTGCGAGTTAAATCTACAAATCTGCAAATAACTCTAAGGATATTCAAGATATTCATGAAATTATTTTTCAAAAACCTTTCGGTGATATACCTAATAATATCCCAAAATTTCACGGCGATTGGATGTATGGTTTTTGAATCTATAGAGTACAAACAAACAAACAAACAGACATTCAATTTTATATATATAGATTAATTAATTAATAATATAAACGTTGACTATCTTTTTTTTTTCAGAGAAAAATACAATAATTATATTTTGGAATTTTCTATACATCACTAAAAGTGGTAAATAGTACAAAAGTGAATTTGTACTTGGATCAGGTAGATAAATTAAGAAAAAAGACATTTCCTGATTGTACAACTGAAAGCTGCTGTTGGTTTTCAGTTGTACGATTAGGAAATGCCTTTTTTTATTAATTACTAAAAGTATCATGAAGTAGTAGCTCAAAAACGCGATTCCAGGAAAATGTGAATAAAAGGTTGATAATATATACAAATAAGTACGTATAAACTTGTAAGTATGTTTTAACGGACGCTGTAGCATGTGACCTAGCTTTATCATCTTTATTCATCATATATTATCACTTTGTTATATCTTCATGTTTTTATACTTTTAATATTACAACCTATTTGAGAATATAAATGGCAAGCTTGCCTGTTCCTTTATTGCATAATAAAAAAAGGAGGAAAATTGACATGGATCCAGAACAGCAGCTTTACACACCTAAGATAGAAGACATTGCGACTGCTTTGATAGAGATACATGGAGACATCTGAGGCTCTTCATTGTATACAACAACAACAATGATTACAAGATTCACTTCTTTTTTAAAAAATGCTTTCTGGATTCCTTACCTCTCTGATACCAATCAGCAAAGAGAGCAAACTACAAACATCCATCTTGTCATCTCAACCATTCTACAAGGATTTGATAACTTAGAACCGGGTTTTTGAGGAACTCTTCCTTACAATCTGACCCTAGTTATGTCAATTATTGTTATTTTGAACCAGTTCAACTTATTAAAATGACATCAGAAAACATAGCCATAGAACAACTATATAATTATCATAAACCGGTCTAAGGAAAAATAACCTCACAAATAAAATCAAAACATGTTTATATATAAAACAAATCTATCTTCTCATACCTCTTTAATTATGTAAATTTATAAATTCAATTGCCATCTATCGTTAAAATTTGTAACAAATAAATTTACTGACAATGTGTTTCTTTTCAATAATATCATCAAATATTATCTCTACAGACATCATTGCAGGAAAGTCTGTAGAGATAATATTTGATGATATTATTGAAAAAAAAAAAACACATTGCCAGTAAATTTATTTGTTACAAATTATGTAAATATTTGGTTTCATTTTTTTCTTATATGGGGAATCATAACAAGATGGAATTCCTTAATAAAACTTTTGTTGTTTATTGTTATTGTCAATTATTATCTAAAGTAATTACACATTTGAAGAACAACAATCAAATTACAAAGAATTATGATGGTTGAAGATTGAATCGAATTTGTGTTGATAGCCTGTGAAGTTCTCAATCATATCTTTTTTGTCTTTTTTTTAAAACTTGAAATGTTGGTTGTCTATGTTTATTTTTAGATATATGTATTTGCATATTAGAATATTTACAAATAATCTAGCAATGCCTCATTAAGAAGCTCCTAAATAAGTCTAAATGGTTCCTTGAAGTTTTACCTTAACAGAGGCCAATATAAGGCGGAGTTTAGAACTAAGATATCATGGAAAAATCTAAACACTGATTGTTTTAAAACTCTATCTTTTTCTTAATAATAAAACATATTATATTTTTATTTTAAAATAAAAAAATATGAAAATTTGAAATATATATATAGATTTCTATTTACATAGCTACCTTTTATGAGCAAAAGCCAAATTTGCATAAGCTACGTTTAATTAGTATGTATATAATTGTGTTACTAGTAACTATTACAAAGATACGGTTTATTAATTAAGAAAACGAGAGAGAATATTTTTTTTGACAAGTCATGATTATTGTTACAAAGGAAAATTTTGCTAAAGAACTTAAAATGTTAAGGAAAAAAATAAGAGAAGCTGATTTCCTGTGTGTTGAAATAGTGATGAATAGGTGGAAGAATCCGTTCAAACATCTTTGTTTTAATGAAAGTCTTGAAGAAAGGTACAAAAAGTTTCATCGCTTGACTATCCAAACAGGAATTTTTCAGTTTGGTCTAGCAACATTTCGTTATTCCCCCTGCACAATAACTAGTGAGATATTTAGCTTCCTCATCAACCCAGGGAATTACACAATGGTTAATAAAAGATATAGAGAAACTCTGAATACAAATTTTCAAAAAGGAATATCCTCTCAGCGTTTAGAAGATTACCAAAAGAAGCGAAAGAAATTGAAAACGAATATAAGTTAAATATTAAAAGAATACAGATTGTAAAAGCTAAGTTAGCTAAAAAATTCAACGAATCAAGAAGAAAAAGAATTTCTAGAAATCATCGATAGAAAATTTGAAAAGTTAAATAAAGAATTTCAAGATAATTTATCGAATCTTGATTCTCAAGCTGGTTTCTGTTTGGTGATGGAAGCTATATTGGAATCAGGAAAATTGATTATTGGACATGATCTGATCTACTTTTTAATATTTTCAATCAATCAATTTATTTGTGAACTACCAAAACATCTAAATGAATTTCAATCATTAGCTGCAGGACGTCTTAATAATTTTCTTGACATCTCCTTTCTCTCTTATGAAATTTTTTAAATTTCAAAATTTTTACCCCTATTTCCCTTGGCTATAGATATTTTGATCGAGTTTGCTGGTTATAATGCTTTTCGCATTGGAAATCTACACTATCCATATGAACTTGTGCTTAGGAATGCAACGCAGAATGATACGTCAAGCATTATCAAATAAATTTTATCTACTTAAATATTATTTTAATAAGATTTACTTTTCAATTCCTTCGTTCGACTATAGATTTATCATACTTCCTATTGGATGACAAATCGATTTATAATTTGTTGTGTAGATATGTATATATGTATATATATGGCGTACTATTATATATACACATTGACTGGCAGAATTGATTTGTAGAGTGTAATAAATTCTTTAATATTCTTAGCAGGCAAAAAATATTGCAATTGATTTTACATGAATGCAGTTTGGAAAAGATTCTACATACAATTTTTAAGAGTTTATTTCTCAGAGAACAGGAATTTTAAAAAACGCGATCTGTGAATGTTTCCACCATTCTCTGGTTCTACAGACAACACCAGTCCCTAATGTGATCACCACAGGGATGTAAGCGCTAAAACCCGCCCCGCTGTCAATAGCTACTGTCTAACACTAGCTAGATCCTGCAACAACGTCGTTAGTAGACCAGGAACACAGGGAAGTCACGGCTCTCCATCTGGAACATCTGTTACACACAGCAGCCTAGAATTCAGACTTTATGGTCAACAGATTGCTATTGTCACCGAGACCCTTTTTTATCCTTGGCATTCAGCAGTTTTTAAGTTTTTATTCTACCCGATTCTTAGGGAATGGAATTAGAAAATTCAAAGCTCATAAAAAGAGCTTCAGCTATGACAAAGAAACTCGTTACAATTTCGTTGCAATCAACCAATCAGTGGAGCAGCTCTAATCAGCAACCAAAGAGAACCTAGGGGAAAACTTACACAAAACCTCCATAGCATCAATTCGTATTTCTTCTAGTTATATAATAAACCACGTCAGGTATAAAAATGATAAGGCACAATTTGGATTATAGATTATAAACACAAGGTAATAAGATCAAATCCAAATAAATAAATAGTGTGTGACGTTTCGGTAACAGAGCGTTGTTACCATCTTCAGACAAAAGTACTGAATGAGAAGTAACTATTTAAACCATGCTGTGGTAAAATTTCTCATTCAGTACTTTTGTCTGAAGATGGTAACAACGCTGTTACCGAAACGTCACACACTATTTATTTATTTGGATTTGGTCTTATTACCTTGTGTTTATAAGTCAGATATATATCTTTCAAAAATTGTGAAACGGTTTAAAATAAGTGTGGCGCTGAACCACTATATTTATTTAAACTGTAACTGAATATCTAGCTTAGTTTGATAATCACACTTATCAAAATTATTTTAAAAACTTTTAATGATTTTTGTTGTTTTTGTCATCAGAATGGTACTTGATTTCAGTTTAAATTCACTTAAGTAAGATATGGAGCTTTTCCTTCCTTAAATATTGTAGTAAAATTTATATTATTTTTTTTAACAGAATATTTTAATTTAGATATTTATATATTTTATTACTCTGCGTAAACATTGCTCACATTGCGTTTCTCTTGTATTTAATTAATTTTAATTTGTGTTTATAAAAGTCGGTGGACGAGTGGGTAACACCCTCGATTCCCGACAGTCATAAACCGGGATTGAATCCCGTGTTAACATTTTGTTTAATATGTGAATAACCTTTACATATTATTCATTGTTCAATTATCATGACCTAGGTTGCTCTTGCTGAGCGGTACCTATTAATGTGATTTGAACCAGGTAATTTGTGTTTGTCTTAGATAAATTGCTGTGTCATCCTGAAGTTTGTCTTTCCTTATTTTCTATGTTACATTTTGGTGGAGATGCTGGGTAAATTAGGGAAGACAAAGTGAGGATTGCCGAGAAAACATTGAGGCCATGGGTGCTGTT